TCAGTAGCCCATGAAGTTCAGTATACATACATATAAAATACACACACACACACACACACACACACACACACACACACACACACACACATTTATATATATCCTGTTCTCCATGCTTCCATCTCTGGAGTTCCAGGAATATTAACATTTACTACTCTGTACACTTTCTTAATCACTTCTATTTTACAGACAATTGTGAACTAAATAATGCCAGATGTGGTCTGTGGGATCCTATTGACTCCTCTGTTTTCTTTACTTTTTGTCTTGTTTTATCATGAAGTTTTGAATTCCCTTTCTGATACCTGCAAAATATCTTAAGATTTTGATTAATATTGTACTGAATATGTATAATTTGAGAAAAGTTGCCATCAACAGTGTGGAGTATTCTAAGAAAGAGAAAGGATCTCTATGAAAGGGAACAGTGTTTAAATTTTTATATGACATTCAATTTCATTGTAAAAGTCAAATACAGTGTATTCTACTAGTGAATAATCTGTTTTTTTTTTCCTGTTTTCTAATAAGAAAGCTAAAGATACTAGGAACATTCCTGTACATATTTTGGTGAACACTGACAGATATTTGATTGGTTATATGCCAAGAAGAGAATGTGCTGGTTTAATATTATGATATAATAATCTTTAGTTCAGGCTGCTAAACATTGTGTAAAATAATAAACATTCAAATATGTGATATCTAAATATAACTGAGTGTGTCTGTTCTACATTCTCCTCAATGTAAGAACTGTCTTCTCACTCTTAGCTATTTTGATGGTTTTGCACTAATAGTTTGTTATAACCTGAAAATTTGCTGATGAAAATACAAATATTCACATTTTTTATTGGTTTTCAAGAGGTTGTTTATTTTCTGGGTATGATTATTTTATCATCATCATACAAAGAAAATAACTCATCAAGGCTTACACTTAATGTTATGCTTCAAGCTCTAGTTAATTCTTTTTTCTTTTGATTCTGTACTAAGATTAGGAAAACATGCAAGGAAATTACATAGGAACTTAACTGATTATGATCACTCATCCAGACTTGTGAATATTTTGAATCACAATTTCTTATTTTTATTGACTTTATAGGTAGATAGTTAACTCTGAATTTTTTGTTGAGAGTATTAACTATTAAATTTACACAGTGAATTGACATTGTTAACTGCAGAAGATTCCTCTGTAACTTAGTAAAATATTTTTCAGATACATTTATAATTTCCTTTTACACACAGTCAAAAGCTGTGTTGATTGACATAAAGGCGAATGAAAATATTTTTTCTGTTACTTCACTGACACAAATATATATTAATATGTATTCATTTTTCTATTTGTTTTTTAAGACAGGGTTTTTCTATGTAGCCTGGGGTGTCCTGGAACTTACTCTGTAGACCAGGCTGACCTTTAAATCACAAAGATCTGCTTTCTTCTGCCTCCTTAGTGTTAGGATTAAAGGCATGCTCTACCAACACCCAGCCATGTATGCATTTTTAAATGAAGTATTGACAACACTCTGCCCACCTATTGACTGGAACATTTAACCTTAATATTTAGTTGAATATAGTTTGCGGTCATAAAAAACCCACAAATGAACATAGAGTCTAGGATGATTAAAAACCAACAAAATTTAAAACACATACACATACACAAGGAGATTATGCCTTGAAATGCTAAAATCTCAGTATTGGCAGAGTTTCTGAGCTAAATAATGTGACTTTTGAATTTACAAATTAAAAATGTCTCTGTATGATGATAGAATCTTCTAGTTACGAGGAATCACACTCATGATTTCCCACAGTTCCCTTGGTTTGCAGGAGAAACACTATTGCAAAGAGGGTGAATAAATTCATAGCAGTGAGAAGTAGAACAGGTACAGTGGACAGGAAACTATGAGAGGACAAGAATCATCTGAATAGTTAATCAGTAGCATCTACTCTGGAAAAAGTAATTTAGTTGAGTTAGTTGCTAAGATCAGGTAATAATTCTGAGTTTATTCAAGATTTTACACCTTAAAATACTTAAAACCAATTGAACACCATGTCAATTATTTTTGCAAGACAATCATATAGACATGCCACCAAGCACTTATTGATTAAAAATAGTGATATAAACAAAATGCAGAATGTGTACACATTTTATTAGAGCTACTTTTAGGTTGTATATTACTTAAATTTGATTATATATTGGAAAAATACACAATCCACAAAGGATTTGGAAGCTACAATTATTTTCTCATTGGTTGGGTTTATAAGTAAAATCACTATTAGTGGAATGCTGGTAGGAAGATTGCCTAAGGTGCGTAGTGTGATTGTGTTTTAGACAAACAGACACAGCTTTTGTTATATCCATGGAATACATACAAAGAGGACAAGTCCATGCTGCGTCTAAAGGAACATTCCTCCCATAAAACCTTGCAATGGAAAGCTTACCAACTGATGTGGTTGAAATCAATTATGAGAATGCAGACAAAAAATATATCATATTAATTTTCATCTAAGATATTTTCTCTAACAATCTTAGTCCAATTGAAATAGTTCAACATATAAAATATTAACTGTAAATATAAAAGAGAAAAGCAATTACAATACACACACTGGTTATCATCCTCATTGGGGTAGAGTTTAAAAATTAAATTCTCATGCCCTTTAAAAGATTTTTTACAAATGATTTTAGCAATTGTGTTTCTAAAATAGATGCAACCATGAATCTATCAATAGTGCAATGGTTTAAAAAGAAGTGCCATAGGTGTTACCCAGGAATGTCCTTAAATATACTACTTATATGACTGAACCTCCAATAACATGCAAGAATATGAATGATTGAATGAGCCTCCAGTTATGCTGATTGGAATAAAAGAAAAAAATACTGAATATTCCATATATTTCTAAATATATATCTTTCTTTAAAATACAAAAACCAAGCAAACAAACCAAATAAGACAAAAATTGGAGAATTTTAAAGTACTTGATTGCCATTTAAAAAGATGCTCAACAGGGAGGTATCAATTGGTGTGTCTGGTGAAGAATAATATTAAGGAACCATATTTTAGTGGGAATGTCCAAAGATTGATACACATCTTCATTGTATCAAGATTCACACCACAGTTCTTTGGTTCAATGTGATTTGGCCCTCATGGGCTTATCTGCTCTAAATTTAGTCTCAAGTGTGACAGTGTTGGTAGGTAGTGTCAATTTTAAGAGACAAAGCATATAATGAAGGTTCTCTGCCATTGGAAATGCTGCCTTCTGAAGAGATTAATGCTGTTCTGGAACCCTCTAGTCCTTGCATCAGGACTATTGTCAGAGAGTAAGACAGCCTCCTTGTCACTCTGTCTGGCTTCCTCTCACACCATGTGGTTTCTCCTCAATGCCCCATCTGTGAGGCCATGTGACATTACCAGGATGCCATGAGTAGAGGACAAACTGTTGAAACTAGGCCATTTGTCCTTTCAAAACAGTGAGCAACAAAACATAGTCCTTCATATCTGATTATGGTAGTACAGAAGAGTTTGGGGAGGCACACTGCCATTGATTTTAATCTCTCTACTCATCTATCTATCATCTATCTATCTATCTATCTATCTATCTATCTATCTATCTATCTATCATCTATCTATCTATCATCTATCTATCTATCTATCTATCT